GATAAATAAATAAAAAGGTGGTTCATTAAGTTATAGGAAAGAGAACATGCTATGTAAAGACATGTGGTAAAGAAAAATAATTGCTAAATTTTTTAAAATGTTTTTTGTTATGCAAGTTAGTTCGGATAGTAAGAACGAGAGGATACTCAGCTGGTGAATGCAGTTTAAAAGCAAGTAAAGAAAAAAGTCACACTCAAAAAATTGAGGATAAAAATGCTAGTTTGGTAAAAGTCACTCAACAGGCGAAGAGGACAAAAATGCAAAGTGCTGTTTAAAGAGATGAATGGATGCGGGTGTGGGTCACTCCATAAAGGAGTGATCAAATGCTGGTAAAAATGCAAAAAAAAACCAATTCCATCCTCCCAAGGTAAATGCAAAAGAAAGTAGTTAACCTCAAATTTGCTCCTCCATCTCCTCTACCGCCTTGCAACTGATAAAAGAGTAAAGACCCAAATGCTGAAGGGCGTGTTTAAGCGCAAGGTCCGTGAGAAAGAGGTGCTTGAGGAGAGGAGAGGCGAGGCACGAAGAATGCTGAGTGGGGAGGATGGAATGGTAGGTAGTCTACTATAATGAAGATAGTAAAACCAACAGAAACAAAATGTGGAATCCAGCCTTTCTTTTATACAACTAATTTATCAGTGGTTTTTTTGCAATAAAAAATAAAACCCAGGGCTCTGAAGTGCTCGGTATAATAGTACGAGAAATATTGTTTAAGCGCAATTAATAGTTTGAAAATATTACTTGATTATTTGAGGCTTCAATTCCGCACGCCAAGTTTTTTTTGCATGTAGATCAATAATCAGAAAACCAATTATTTTGCTTTGTGGATAGATACAAAAATACTCACCATGCATTTTTATATTCAAATTTCTTTCTGACGACTATGTGATCGACAGGATTTGTGCGCACAAAAGACAAGGGGAAACAGCATTTCTGTGTGGATATCGAAACCAACCTTGGCGCACACACGAACGTGCAAATCTCTCATTGATTAGAGGGTATCCCTTTTTCTTTTCCTTGTGTCTGGAGAAGATGCTAATAAAACTAAAAGGGGCATTTTCTCAGTGGAAACTACGCAGGGTCTTTGCAAAACAAAACATGTAAATTTGCAGTGGTGTAATGGATCTACACTCGGCGGTTCAATATTATTTTTAGTTTTTACTAACAGTCTGTCGCCTCGAACTGTTAAGAAGGGGGAATGGATGTGCAAAACTGTCATGCAAGGGAAAGAAAACGAAAAAGGGTTTTTTTTCAATTTTCTTTCAACGACTAAAAATAGACTGGTCCACAAACTAACACGAGGTTGCTTTGCAATTGGAAAGAAACAAGAGATTTGTCTGAGCACAGTAAAAAATTGCAATTTAGTTGATTATTTATTGATTGATTTATACTTAATTTGGCAGATAATGGTTAAATTACAAGATTAATATATCCCCATTTTTTAATTGTTCGCCTCGAATAAACCAAGCGTGTCAAATTAAATGCACTTGTGCTTGTATCCATTGCATAAAACATACGTGCGATTGCGCGCACTTGTCTTTTTTTGTTTACACCATCGTGTCTAAACACATTTTTTTATTGTTCGAGTAAATTAGTGTGTGTGTGCAGGTTTTTTTCAATAAGTGACATGTGAGCACGTGTGATTGTTTATTTTATTAATGAATTCAAAAAAGGGTGAGAACAGAGGCAATCCATCCGGCCAATTTCCCCCCTCCCTGGATAATTTTCTTTCCGTTTTAGTGATATTTTAGAGTGGAGAGGAAATATGACGATGATGATGATGATGCTGGTGAGAAACGCATATCAAAATGGTATCCATCCGCGTGGTCGTATGTGTTCTAGCTATTTCTTTTCTCATCATCATCGTCATCAATCATTTTTCTCACTTTTTTGCGTTTTTTTCCTTACTTTATTTTAAATTTTTCCTTCTTTCAAATTCACAAAATGGAAAGCGAAATTAGCGCAATAACGCTAGAAGCAACCAAGCTGCTGGCACGCATATACCCAACAAAACAAAACGAAACCATGCCCCTGATAGACCTCCCACCACCATCATCACAAAATACCAGCAGCAGCAGTGGAGGAGGAGGAGTTGAGATCCTCGACAGTTTCTTTGCAGCCGACTTCATGATACACCACCCAACAAGGCGACCAACCAACACTAGCAGCATTATTGGCAACACCAGCAAAACAACCAATATGGACATTGAGGACGAATCCTACGGCACCAAATACATCAGGTACTTGAACAAGTTTCGGATAGAAAAAGCCAAAGTTGAAAAGGGTAAAGACCTCGTGGACACCATTGTCGAAGCAATAAATGGGTCGCCCGAAGTGGTGGCGGAGTACAAGGTGCGGGAGAGCATCTTGGCTCGCGCCATTATTGTACAGGCACAGATTGAGGCTGGGAAAAGGGACCGGGCGCATGGTGAGCGGTTAGCCGAGGAGTTTGTAAAGGCGAAGATGGACAATGGGCTCTGGTACAGTATCCAGGCGCACTTGCATTGTAGTGACAATAATGAAGATACCTCTGCTGGTCGTGGCAGTGGTGGTGGCAGCACCCCCATGGTTGGTGTCGATGAGTTGGAGATGGCTGTGGAGCTTTTATTTATTTTCTCGCACTGGTCGCTCGCACTGAAGCGCAAGGAAACTGTGGCGCCGGGCGCGCAGTCGCTGTTGCGCGTGTGCTTGGCTGTAGAGCTTTTCTCGCGGTATGCGGCGCGTCAGTCACAGCCGTCTTTGTCATCGGCATTGTCGCGCCGGCACCACCGCGCACACGGCCACCAACACCAACAGCCTGATGTTGGGAGGCTGCAGCGGATACGGCTCGGACACAAGGCACTGCACTTGTTGGACATTACGTGGGGAATTCTCATAGGGGACGAGGCCGAGGCCATGCGGCGGCTGAGTGGCAGCAGTAATGCTGAGGATGCTGGCAGCAGCGTGGCGACAAGGGGGCTGCGGCCCAGCGGCTTGGCCCGCGATGCGTTGAGGCAGATCCGCGACAGCTGTGAGCGATACCCAGAGCTGAGCGCCGAGGTGAACAGCGATATTGAGCGGCTGCTGCCCTTTATTCATCCGTTTGACGGGCACTTGACGCGCAGCGCGCAGCTGGGCCGGTTCGGGCCGATCAGCAGCAGCAGTAGGGATCAGATCACGGCGCAGCAGGCTGCCGATGCTGTGCATTCGGTCTCAATGCCCAGAGAGTCATTGGCAGAGGGTAGTCGCGGGACTGTGCCGAAGGCTGCAAGAGAGGCTGTTGCCGCGTATGTGCGTGCGGCGCAATTGACGCGGTCAGAGCGCGAGTACGGCGAGTGGTGGCGGCGGCTTGTGGGCACGCGCGGGTGGCCGATGAGTCTGACCATCAATGGCGGCGTGCGCGGCAACGACATCATTCTCAATCCGTTGCAACAACAACAGCAGCAGCAGCATTTTCACGGCGGCATCATCGAGGCCGAGGACATGGCAGCATTGGAGCTGGCATTGGACAATAAGCTGGACCCGTGTGGCTGGCCGCCTGGCACCGATTCTGAGCCTGGCGCTGGTGCGCGCGCGGCGTTTTATTGCGCGCTGTTTCCACTGTTGCCTGTGCTGTGTCGCGCGCTTGTGCGCACAATTGCTGCGTGGGCACCGGCCGAGCGCGAGCTTAGTGCGGCCCCGGCGCCGGCAGGGCTGGTTTCAGAGGTTTCTGGGCTGGGCATCATTGCATACCCAAAGTGGGAGCTACCGGCGTCAGCAGCTGCTGCTTCTGCCGCTGCTCACTTGCTGGGCGGTTCCAATGTCCAGCGCTTGGACCGCACAGCTAGCAGATCTGCCAGCAGCTCCAGCATCAACACTGCCAGCAGCAATAGCAATAACAGCAGCAGCCGCAGTGCTAAGAATGGCGGCGGTGTTGTTGTTGTGGCGGGACTGGCGGCACGGTTGCTGACGCAATATTCCCAGTGGGAAGTCACTGGGCGGTTTCTCATGCGGCTGCTGGCAGGGCTGCAGGCCAACCATATTTTGCAAGTGGGGTACGTGGCGCAATTGCTGGTTAACGAGAACATCATTCCAGCCATATTTTGGTGGCTGGGGACCGCCGATCTCCAGCTAGGAATCAGCCTTCCATTGGCTGTGCGGCGCCGCAGCTTTACAGCCGAGTACGCGCTCGAGCTGCGCCGAGTGGACCCGCAAGCCGTCCAGTCTTCATCATCATCTTTCTTGTCGTCTGCGTCATCGTCTGTGCTGCCGGCAAAGCAGAGTGCACTTTGCTGGCGGCCGGCGCTCCAAGGACTAGTCGACTGCTGCCGGGCGCTGCGCCGGCTGACTGCGCACGATGGAATGCGCAAGGGGTTGCTTTACAAGAACAAGGCGCTGTATTTCTACTCGCGAGTCATGTCCGTGCCCCTACTGCCTCTGCGCCGAGTGGTCGCTGAGCTGTACCGGGACATTGTGCCTATATTGTCCCGGGCGAAGAAAATGGCTCATATGGATATCCTGTCTTGCGTATTTCTTTACGCTCCGCCGTTGCTGTCAGACTCGTACTGGTTGTCCGAATATTTTGTGGATCCACTGGTCGAGATGCATCGGCATGTGGAGTTGCTGAGGCTGTTGCATTTTTATCATTTTGAGTGTTTTGGGTTGTTTTTGCCGCAGAGTTCCGCCCTGTTTCCGTCATTAGTTGCTAGGGTTGTTGACTTGCCTCTGAAACCTGCTGATTCTAATACTGCTAATACTACTTCTACTGCTGCTGGGGAGATCAGACCTAGGTCGGTGCCTGCCGGGAGGCACGGCAGGACAGCTAGCAGCGGGAAGTATAGAAGACCTGGGGTGGTTACGCCGGCGCCAGCCAGCTGCAGCTTGCAGAGCGCGTCGGCCGCGGGTGTTTTGATGAGCGAACATAGCTGGATCAAGTGGGATTCCGAGCTGGAAGAAACACTGAATCAAGTTTACATCAACAAGTCATAAAAAAGTCCCTTTTGTAATTTTTTATTCGAGATTCTGTTTTTGAGTTCTTAATGGCAAAGTTAAATATAATGTTTCAGCAAACGGCCTCTTTATCTTATCCCTCACATCCATGTACCGAACCATCCGGGGTCTTCTCTCCTCGACAGCATCGGCAATAGCCTGGTGTTCCTCAGCAGTCAACGGCAGTACATTCTTTGGAAGCTTTCTGCGCAGCACACGGTATCTGCTGCATATGCTCTGCAAAGATGCATTGAGATCGGCAATAACCTCATGCATATCTGTCTCTGTCGGGTGTCTGTATAACGCGCAGTGGTCCATAATTATCTGGTCCTCCTTTTCTGTCCACGTCCGGCGCTTCGCCCTTTTCTTCTTCCCGTTTGGTCCCCCAGTACTCTCATCTACGATAACTGACAGATCCTTGCCGTGCATCAAAACAGCATACCACTTTTCCGTATCTTTATCCATCTTCCCACCATTGGGTAACGGCGTGTTTGAGCCAGATTGTCTGAAGGATTTTAACATATACGTGGCAATAAATTTGCAATGCTGGGCATCGCGGTGGAGGGTGTGAGATACGTGAGACCAGTCAGGAGTAAGTTTGCGAACTTCGTGCTGGTGTGTATATAAAAACAGCGCTCGTCGTTCGCTTAGTGACCAGAGTTTTTGTGCGCGGTGGTGTGTGCTGTTTGTATTATCATTGCCGCTGTTGCTGCTGTGCCAATTTGGGTGTGCTGGGAGGTTGGGTTTCAGGAAGGTCAGAGTGCGAATTTGGCTTTGAGTCCAATGTAGAGGGCGGATAATGTATTTTAAACTAAACATTGAATAGGGAGTCGCTTTGTTGTGTGGTTGAGATTTTTTGAAGTAAATGTATTGTATGAAAAAGGCTATTTGAACTAAAAAAACGCAATATAAAATAATTGCTTAAAATCTTTACAGCTAATCTCATACGCCTTAGCGTATGGTTAATAGTCACGTTTTTAATTATTCTTTATGCGTTTTAAAAAATAAAATTATTGTCATATTGACGCCATCAATTTTCCAGTACAGGGCGATTTTTCAACCAACTCGATTAATGAAATTTTTTATCTTTTATCTTTTAATTGTAATTGTAATCGTAATATTACTTTCTCCAAAAATGTTTTGGATGTGGTTATTTCAATGTCACCACAACGCAAGGAATAACATGCTTGCCTTTAATGGGCAAGAAATGTTTAAAAAATAAATCACCACAGCTTCATGCAACTGTTTCATCGCCCAATCCTTCCTTGTATTATTAAACCATTTTTTGGCTTTATAGCTAAATATCAAGGGCATTGTTGCATAGTAGTTGAGGTTGAACTAATTTAACTGGTCTATGATACAGCCTTTGGAGAAATATTGGTTGAGCTTTTTCCGGTTACCTGGGTATTCTCGTTGCTTTGGGGTATTAAGATTACAATGTTGCTGTTTGGAAGCAGCCCTCCTTTTTTAATTGCGGTTAGTGTCTTTTTATTTCAGTCTTTTATCGAGAGGAGTCTGATACATGCCTATGTATTTATTATTAGTGTGTGTGCAACTGATACGGTATGTTTTATTAATGACCATAGAGTAAGGTGAGATGTCTTTTTGAGTGCTTGTTTTGTGTTTAGATGGATGAAAAAAGTTATGTGAATAGGCTAAACTGAAGTGAAGGAAAAAGTATGAAAAAGTATATTTAATGTCTGCTGTCACAGAATAAAGTTTATATCCTTGAGCAGTCTGACGATATGAAAGTGGATGTCGAGGTTGAGAATCGTGAAACGGGTTTTCATCAACATGCCGATTGACAAGCCATAGGTGGTACTATGTAGGATCAAATCAGGGGGCATAATAATGATACCCTGATATACCCCTCGTTTCATAATGTACACGTACGGATGCGTATATGCAAATGCTGCTCAACAATAAAAACGTTAGTTTTTTTAAGCATTCATAGAGTTATGATTTACGAAATAAATATAGTCACTTGTCTATTTTATTTTTTTACAAAAAGTAAATATGTAAAAACTACTTACTTTTTGTCTTCCAATAATATGTCACCATTATGCCAACGTGCTACAAGCTTCCATGGTTAATTAAATAAATGTATAGTAAAAAAGAACCTATTTTTTAACATTTCGTTATATAGTGGTCAGCGCGTTTTTTTACAACTTGTTTAATTTATTTTCTTCACTTCAAAGTTGTGATCGATAAGCAAAGAAAAATAAAGCAAGTGATTTAATCAAGTTTTTGTATTGTATAGGATGGGCATTTCTTTAACAAAAGCGTCAATGCGGGTTATTATCTTGCTGTCTTGATTATGAGTATCTTAACGTATAACAATGTCTTGCCGCTGTATTCTGGGGATAAGGGCAGGTAGAAAGCACACATATTGAGTAGAGCCTTTCTTCGTTTCTTGCCACTCCTGGGTGGAACAAGTCTGCCAAATAGTTGATTATGGCAATGAGCGAAATAGGATCCTCCTCTTTAATGTTGGTAGTGCTGTGCAACACTGATAGCTTTTGGATGGCTTTATAATAACTTTTTAATAAAAATATGAGGATAAAAATAATGTTTTTGATAAAGCATAGCAAAGCAAAGTTGCTAGAAAAGAAACTAATATTCCTCATAATGACCACATACTCATCAAGGGCAATAAACCTTTCCTGTTTCCCAATCCGACAACTTTGGGTTCATTGTAGCAACGCACATAGGATGTGCCCAGCGCACCCGCCCTGCCGCTGGCGGCGCTTCAGTATCAGTCTCAGCACCAGCGCCAGCATCAGCCTTGGTGTCATAGTCATTGCAACGCACAACAACGCCATTGAAAAACCCACGACAAACCACACAACTCTCTTCCGCAATGCCTCCACTACCACCAGCAGCAGCAGCATCAGAGATCGATCGGTGGGTTTCCAAACACTGTTTAACGCCACAAACCCGTGCCGAAGTAACCATTAGATCATCATCTGTACCCTGCTCATCCTCATCCACATCCATAGTTTCCTGCGCATGTGCCTGTGCTGTTCTCGACCGCGTGCCAATCCGATCACCTCCACTCTCCGAACACACTGGCAGTGAAAATGGCACCATTGGCAATCTCGGCGACAATGACCAAAAGTGTTTAAACTCCACGCGCACATCGGGAATAAACCGGGCACACAAATAATGCGCAAATATCCGACCCTCCGCTGCTGCTGCTTCACCACTACCAATGCCGCGCATGCCGCGCACCGGCAGCAAAACGCCATTCTGATACGCACACAGAGCACAGGACAACTGATCCGTATCCATAACGCAATTCGCACACTTATAGTCCATATGACCACGAGCACGAGCATAAGCGGAGGGCTCTAGCGCACAGCATAGTGGGTGGACAGTCAGCCCGCATTGCTGACATTCGACGTAGTCCGCGTGAAGAAGATCCATTGGCAAAAGACAGCCGCCGCAGGTGCCCACTGGCGTATGCAAGGAGGCTGCAAAATAGTACGGATCCAAATCCAGCTCAGTTCCAGGTTCCGCTGGTGGCTCCACGGGTGGCTCCGCTAGCGGCTCAGGTACAGGCTTGGGCGCGGGTTTCCGTGTACGATACACGGGGCGTTTCGATTTAGGCTCTTCGGGCTCGTGTTCGCCTTCATCCTCTGCTGCCACAGCTGCCTTTGGCGAACATTTGTCGGTGGATTTGCGCTTAGCCGTGACCACCGCCACCGCCACAGCCTCGGTCTTGCGCGGTCTCCCAATCGGTCTCTTCACGGCAACCGTAGAACCAGCGGCGGCTGCAGCAGAAGGTAAATATTTCTTCTTTTCCGCCACTGCCGCCGCCGCATGTCGTCTCTGTGCAGCCCTCTTCTTCGGCAAACTCACCGACTCCACCACCATATCCACAGGCTCCTCACCCCTTCTCCCACGTGCCTCCTCGCCAAACCACTCCATCAGATCAATCGTCACCGAATCCTTCACGCACTCGCAATGCCTCGACAACGGCGCGACCTCGAGCCACCGGTCAATGGCGAAATTCACACTCTCCGCGCAATTAAATCCATGATTAAACCCAGCATGATACCCCAGTGGAAACGTCAAAATAATCTCCCCGGCTCTCTGCACAACGCGGTTGAAAGGAATCCCCTGCGACGCAAGAAACCGCGGCGATAGTAAAAATGCTTTGTGCCGGAGAAACTGTGAGCATAGTTTATGGTCTCCGGCGAAAACATTCTGCATGGACATTTCGAAGCGCGCGCGTGCCTCGACAGGGATGGCGTACCAGGCTTTGGGGGAGCCAAAGTGGATGTAATTGATCGAGTACAAGTCCATGTCCTCGACATGCCAGGCAAAAGTTGCTTTCCACATGCCCAGGTACAAATACGGGTCGTTGACGCCCGGCATCCGCTGGTCGATTCGGCGCAGAAGGCCGGGCAACCGGCGGATATTCCATGTGGGAAAGTCCTCGACCGGCGGAAACAGCGTGCCAAGCACGTCGGCGCCGTACATCGGCGGCTGAAACAGGAGGTTCTTCCAGTACATGCGCTCGAGCTCTTCGTTTTCCGCGTACTCCGCCGACGACACGAACAACGCGCGCCCGTCGCGTGCAAATGAGCGCGCTGGCCGCACACCGTTGTGGTCTGCCGCCGGCTCCCCATCCGTTTGCGGCCGCGGGCGGTACGATGCTGTGGCCGGCTGGAACTTCGCCCGGGCGCTCTCCGACCGCACACCCTCGCGCACCGCCGCCGCCGCCGCGCTCGTCAACCGCACATCACCAGTCCCATAATCCACGGCCACGCCCACGGTCTCCGATGCATAGACCACCGGCTCCGCACTCTGCTGCTTCTTATGAGCTTTGTCCTCCCTGCTGCTATTGTCCTCGGCACCGGCCTTGTGCTCCGGCACTCGGTGGCTGGCGTCCTGCGACGTTTGGAAAAACTGCGCCAGCTTGACCTTGCGGTGAAACTCTACGTTGTACTGGTGGAATATTCCGCTGTTGCCGTTAAAGTGCTGTACAATCGGCTTGAGAATCGGAAAGTCCTCTTCGTCAAACACTCGCACTCCAGCACTGCCCTCAAGCTCGTCGCGCCACTGCGTGGGCGGCACAATCTTGCAGATACCCGCCCGTAGTGCTAGTGGCTCAATGGCTGATACCAAAGCCTCAAAGTCGCTGAACTGCTCTGTGCTGGGGCAGAACACCGGCACGGACGAGTTTGGGTAAAAATAATATTCGATCGCCTGCCCGAAAAGTTCCGGGTAAAATATGCTCGCTGCATCCACGTCTGCAGCGGAAAACTGCTGCTGCTGGTGCTGCTGGTGTTGTGTTGACGATGGTCCTGTGGACCGGTTGGGTGGCAAAAAGGTCTTGTGTACTGAGGAGCTATGAGAAGAGGAGGCAGCAGCGCGCGGCAGACTGTTGGTGGCTTTTCTCGTAGCCATACTTGCACCTGCCCCGGCAGATACACGACTGCGCATAATCATTGCTGTGAATAGAATATGAATAAAAGAGTGAGAAATAAAGGTTGCTGAGGAATTTATATAAAAAGAAAGCAGGGAAATAAAAGAGAGGGAAATGTAGGAAAACAAGGGGGAAAAGGGGCTTTTTTGTGTGTATGTGTGCGTTGCGTGCTTTGTTATTGTGCGTTAGAAATTTGAATAGTAATATTAATAACCGAAATTGAAAGTTGAAAATTTAAAAGTGAGAAACAAAAAAGGAGGCGTAAAAATATTGAATAATGA